CAAGCACTCTAATGGGAATGGATGAATCAGAAGTGAACATATCAAGTCAAACCAGGGTCAGCAAAACTTGCAAGTCATTATCATAAATGTCTGTCAGCAAGCATACATAAAAGTGTAGATGTCATTGCTTGATTCTTAATAGAGAGGCATCTACACTACAGGCTCCCTTTCACTACATCTCAACCTCTGACTTCACATTGCTAGGGCAGCTATGTGCTGACCACAGCAAAGACAAAGGCAAGATGAAACCATTATGGAATTGTGCTGTGTGTAAATATCATTAGAGTATTGTTGTTTACTGACCCCCCCCCCACTTCTGCCTCTAAAGCTGGAATAATTACACACATTATATCTCATTGGACATACTCCTTGCTCTCCTTTCCCTTGTCTATCCAAAATTATCTTTACTTCTATAAATTGACTCTGTTTACATACAGAAAATGTTCCAGCTGCTGTTTAAAGCAACATACTCTACTTTTACAAAATGAGGCAAATGATTCTGATACCATTAGCATGCATGCATACACACACACACACGAATTACTAGGGCTAGGAACTGATTTCAGTATCTAGAACAGGTACTTTGCTATGATCTTTAATCTGTGCCTATGAATGGATAGTCATCTGAAAATTTAAGTAAAATATTTTACATACACATATGTATTAGACAAGATAGATACCGGTTTTCCATACAAACAGTTATCTCTTTTTGATGAGAACATTCTCCTTCCCACAGAATGAGTCGTACATGCTTTGTTTGTAAGTTACCCCAGCCTCATGGATACAGTTGGTAAGACTAAATTCCTGATCTACAGTGGGAGTATTTAGACTCTTTTTTAGTAATTTGGAATTAGGATTCAGAGACAGTAAGTAGTGGCCAGAGATTTATATGTTCCAAAATGAAACATAAACACCTATTTTATACAGTCATATTTCACACAAAGAACACAGAAACAGAAAGCTATTTCACAATATCACAGAAGCAGAGATAAAATAGTGGATTCCTGAGTACTTTCCCTATGTTAACTGAGTCCTCTGCTTGAAGTCTTGTTTCACTCCTAAGCTTGAATTCTGTGAAATATCTTAATATATAACAAATCATCATATCTTTAAGTGGTATCAAATAGTTTTACACACAATCAGCTATCAATTATGCATCAATTTAAAAGTGTGGGTGTGAGAGGCTATTGTTTTGAGTATATAAGTCATTTTTTTTAAACCCTACAAGGAAAAATTCCCTTGCTTTCGAGGACTGGATTACTCCTAGTCAACTATGTAATACTCGGTAGAAAGCATAATATGTAGACTTGTAGAATAAAATTAATCTCTTGTGCTCCTCTATAGAGGAAAAGAAACATATACTTCTAAAATAAGTTGTTAAAGTAAATACATTTACTTGGGTAAAAAACATTGGGATTGTAGACCACATCTGCATTTCACCATATGCATTCTGCTACTTTCTAAGCATCAATCAGTTCCACTTGATTTCTCATTCCTGAGACAGATGTTTCAGAATTAGAGCAAAATTCAGTGAATTCCAGGCATGGAAGTGTGTGAAAATAAAAAGGGAATGCAATTTTGAGCTAGATGGTCCTGGTTTCAAATTCCAAATCTCCATAACTGTAGGCATGATTTGGGGAAGGTTAATTTGTTATTGTGAGTTATATCTACCTCCTTTAGAAACAGGCCAAATGGATCAGTATGAGAAGCAAATTAAATGAGATAATGCTTGTATTGCAGCTTAAATGGTGCCTAATACAGAATAAGTGCACACAACATGTTAATTTCTTTCTTTGTACCAACATTTGACAATTTATAGATTAAACTCAGGATTTGATGCCAATACACAATCAGTTAATAATGTTGGACAGTGGTGACAGAGGTTCCACATGTTAATGTCCCCTAATCTACTGTACCCCTAGGCCCTGAGGTCTTTTACCAATGGAAAAGAGCAATTTTACTCATTCTAGAATGAATTTTCATCATGTATCTTTCTAGAACATTACCTATAACAATAAAAAATGGCAGTTATTTTTAATTAACTTGGTAGTAATCAGCTTTATATGACTTATCACATTTAATATTCACAGCAACACTCTGAGTTAGCTATTGTTATCCTTCTTTTAATACTATGAAATCTGAGGCTAAAAAGGTTAAAGCAAATTATTTGCCAAACTCCACAGCTAAAAAATGTGTAAGTGGGGATTCAAAACCACCTCTGGTTCCAAAATAAATACCATAACTGGTCTCCTTTATACGCAGTTCAACAAAGTAAAGGATATTTTAAAATTTATAAGAAACCGGGCCTCCCAAATGGTGCAGCCGGTTGAGTGCAGCACTGTGACACACACTGCTCCCCTCAGCAATGTATTTCAGTCTGCCTGTTCTGCTCCCCGCTCTGTCTCTGATGAATTCTCTCACCCTCCTGCAGTGCCGCTGGCCTATACCCCAGTTCTTGTATAAATAAATAAATCTTTAAAAAAAAAAAAGAATTTAAAAGAAACCCAGGAGAAAAATAGTTAAAAGCAGGTGATTCTATACAATGATACTGGCTGGGGTAGGGGGTGGTGTTTATCTATTTACTCACTCTTCTTTCTCAACAATTACTTCATAATTCCACTTTATGACATTTTCCAATTTTACAAAGTCCCAGCAGTCATTTAATTTTGATTTTGTTTTTTTTTTCTTATTTTTTTTTAAAGCTTGCATCTCTGTGGCCAAGCTATTCTTTTTGCCCTTCCTTCCTCCCTTCCTCCCTCCCTCTCTTCTTTCTTCCTACCTTTTATTTTTGTAATTTTCACCAATTTGAGCAAAGAAAATAGTTAAAATTTACAATTTTAATTTTTGTGTCATAAAAATATAGAGAAAAAGAGAACATTATAGAGAACATTATATATAAAAACAGTCAAATAATAGAATATTGATAGTTTACTGAATTACATAATTCAGTAAATATTCATTAATTATCTACTTTTCCCAGGCATTGCTAGAAAATGGAAAAGTATAAATAAACAAGTTGAAGTCACTGGCCTAAGATGAAAATATTAATAAATAAATGTATAATAATCATGTTAGGGAATGATCAGCTTATTATATAAATAATAAATCATGCTGCTTCACAATGTGGCTGGGCCCAAGGGATGAGCAGTCAAACTCCGAGCCTGTTTATTTAGGCCCCCTCTTATTTAGGTCTCTTAATCAATGTGGTCTTCTCTATAATTATTACCACCATGCCCTTGAGGGCACCTGATGTCTTTCTCTGTCATCTAAAATTACTTTGGGAACTCAACTGAAAGTGAATTCAAATTTCATCCCACAAAGTAGCTGGGTTATTCACATCAAGAGATGCAAGTCTGAGTACCATTTTTATATTCTAGATCACTGATGAATGTGAAGGAGTTTCCTGAAGATTTACATGGCAGTTGGGAAGAAGTATTTCTCAGATAACATAGACTACATTAAATATAAGGAGACTTTCATTTCTAACCACACACAAAATGAAGATCTATAGGGGCTGGTCTTATGTGCAATGAAAAGGAAAATCAAAAGCTACATGAGCGGGATCTGTGACTTGGAACAAAAAAAAATCTAAATCAAAGCAAAGTTATATAGAAAAATATGACTATTTCTAGTTAAACAATGATCTCCTATATTTACTACTAATTTTCACATAATTTCTTTGTATACCTATCATTGTTTCTAATAGAGATGAAACATGAACTTAATGCTGCATAAGTAATTGTGTGGCCCACCTACAGAGGTCTTTCTTCCTCAGATTACTTAAAGCAATTCATCAGTTAAGTATTTTAGAAAGACATTTTACCCAAAAACACTTTCTCATAGAGACTGCATGAAAAACCAATTTAAAATAGGAGGCATTTGGGGCCTCCCTCGTGGCTCAAGGGGTTAAGCACAGCACTGTCAAGTTACTGCAGACTCTGCAGCATGAGTTCGAGCCCTGGCTGGGGAGCTACCCACATGGCACAGCAGACCTCTCATGTCTCGCCTGTTGCTCCCCTCAGCAGTGTACTTCAGCCAATCTGCCTGTTCTGCTCCCCACTCTGTCTCTGGTGAATCCTCTCACTTCCCACACCTCAGGGCTGTGCCCCAGTTCTTAAAGGCATAACTAAATAAATCTTAAAATAAAATATCAGGCATTCATTGCTTTTCCATTATCCTGTTGTATTATTTTTATCATTTGAAAATATATTCCAAGTCTGGTTATCTGCTTAATGTTTATCTTCCCCACTAAAATATAAGCTCAATAGTTAAAATGACTTGAATTTCATTCCCCATATATATGACAGCACCTAGGAAATTGGCTAGTACCATCAGTAACTCAATGCTTTTTGTTAAATATTTAAAATACAGCCTGTCCTTGCATGTATCATTTCATTCAATGTAGTTTCATTAAAATGTTCATTAGAAAATAACAATACCCAGTCAATTTTGAACAAAATTATGTTATTTGAAGTCCTATTTTCATTATAGTCCTTAAGCTTAGGTTGCAGCTTCCAAAACTTCCCTACAATGTTAAGTGAGGACTTACTGTATAGCAACAACAACAACAACAAAACCTGAGGATATTGAAGCCATTCTAAGGAACAAATGAGGTGCAAATGATTAAAGATTTAATGTGACAACACACGAAGACCAAGTCATAACAAATACAGTGCCCTACTACATCGTCTTTATATAGTAACTCCTATTATCTCCTTAGTGGAAACAGGAAAACAACAGAAATTGAATTGGTCTCCATCTATTTTCTTTTTGGTAATGTATTATTGAAATGTCTCTTTTCCTGTTTAATAATCCAAATTTGCATTATTTGTCTTGCTATTTTAAGTCTTACATTTTATAATTTGTCAATTTAGGACTTCTGGATATCCTGACTCTTTGTTTATTGCACACATCTATCATACACAAACTGTGGAAGACAGAGTAGGGTTAAGAATATGGTTTTTGATTCAGATTGTTCCATACTATTGATAATTACTTACCTTTCTGTGCCTCATTTTCTTCTTCATTAAAATGAGAATGATGAGAGTTCCCTCCTCATAGTGTTGTTCTGCAGATAAAAACAATTAGTGGAAAATGGTTATAATAGCTATGGACACTTACTCAAATTCTAGTATTTTGAGACAATTCTCTAGAGACCTCTCATGTTTCTGCATGTCTTGTCAATAGAGACTGACAATTTTCTTCTAGGATTTGTCTTTTCAAGGATGTTTGCACAGTGAACAACCTTGAATATAGACATAATGTCTCCCTCTTGATAAAAGGAAAGATTTATTTACTGCCCATAAAATAAAGGTAATGTCTTTCTCTGGGGAAAAGTTTTAGCTAGTTTGCTAGAAGCTTATTATAAATATTAGGTTCCTTTTAGCTTGAGATTCCCCAGCTGGACGCAAACACACTCTGTGTATAGATATAACCTGGCTCTCTTGTTTTCTTGTGGTAATTGGGACTTAGAGAATAGGTGCTAGAAAATAGTTGGTACTCTAGCTACTATTGATAATGTGAGCAAGAAACTCTCTTTTGTATCTGACCCAGGAGTCTCATGTATTCCTAACATTCTTGAAATCATGGCACTATACCTTTTAAGCTAGCAAGTAAAATAAAATATCCAACTTATCACAATTCTTGACAATCAGCATTCTAATAATGTTATGAGTTTTTTTTTTTCCTAAGTTTATATAACTGTCTAACTTTGAGTAAGAAATGTGTTTCTGAGGTCATTACAACCTGAATAGTTTTCTCCCAGTAATCATAAACACTTTTCCTTTTATTTCTGAATCTCTGCACCCTTCCTACCATTCACTATAAAATATTGTTGTGGTTGGAGAAACTGGTATTAAAAAACTGCTTCTGGAAACAAACTGCTACATGATAATTTCTGTTGTTTCACCATTTACTACAAGCTACATGTCAATTACTACATTGATATTCAATTTATCATTCTGTAAATTAAAATATTGTCAATTTATTATTAGGAATTTGCAGTCTTCAGCGAGACTTTCTATTTCCTTGTAGATGTTCATTAACTCTACTTAATCTGTGCTGATTATTTCTACTTTGTTTCTACTTTACAATATCTCATACTCATATTACACACTTCTCTATTCAAAACGCTTTATCTTCAAGGTCCTTTTAAACTATTGCTAGCCACTGCGGCATGAGTTCGATCCCCAGCCTGGGAGTGACACACCTCTCCTGTCTTGCTCACTGCTTCCCTCAGCAGTGTTTTTCAGTCAATCTGCCTGTTCTGCTCCCCGCTCTGTCTCTGGTGAATCCTGTCACCCCCTGCACCTCTGGCCTGCACCCTAGCTCTTGTATACATAAATAAATAAATCTTTCAAAAAATAAGGATCTAAATCACTCCCTTTATAAAAAGAAAAAAAAAAATAGGTTTGCTCCAACTCACCTAGGGACAATCTCAAAAAAGTTAATCCTTAAGAATTGTCGTTTTTCCATACTAATACCTCCACTCCTCATATCTTACACAAAAAGATACAGCATATATCCATATATGCACATACATTCCACAAACACCACCATGATTAACATGAGAATAACATGAAAATGGAAGATGAGTCAGTAAGTAGAAAGTATGGGGAATTTAATTTTGTTTCTTGGGCACAATATGTAGTACCCTATATATTATTGCATAAACATTAATAACCTGATGTTCCTCAAAGATAGGTACTCAATCGAGTAAATTCTTATTTATTTATTTAATTATTTATTTATGCATACAAGATCAGGTGCACAGGCCAGAAGTATTGGGGGAAGAGGGTGAGAGGATTCACCAGAGACAGAGTGGGCAACAGAACAGGCAGACTGATGAAATATACTGATGAGGGTGAGTCAGGAGAGGTCTGCTGTGCCATGTGGGTAGCTCCCTGGCCAGGGATCAAACTCATGCTGTAGTGGCTACAAATAGCTTCACAGGTTGAGTTTTAACCCCTTGTGTCACCAGGGAAGCCCTCAATCAAGTAAATTCTTTGGAGAATTCAGAGATGATTATTGCCCTTAAAGTTGTTCCACTTGGCAGTTAATTGATTAAGGTCTTTAACTTACATTTGGGCTTATTTTGATATATGTATATAATGTCATAGACAGAGCCTCACTTCTGCATCCCAGGTTTCAGCACTACAATCAGGATGAGCTCTGTATCCTCACTCATTTGATTTGGAGGCCTCTCCACCATTCCTCTTTAGTCTATGGACTCACTGTCTTGACAGACTGTTTTTGTTTTTGTTTTTTTTTATTTTTTGTTCAGTGTTGCAGCCACTTTTCCTGGAACATTTTAAGTTAAACTTCTAAGCTAACATTTTCTTCCATAGTCATCGCAGTTTCTATTAAGTGATTAGTAACACACACATATAATCTACATGTTCACGTGGATATATATATATGTGATGTTGTAATTTATAATTGGAAATATATATTTGGTCTTTGTCCCATTCTGGTACAGAGTTCCAAAAACTCTCGGAATTCCCTAAGTCAGATGAGCTATAAAGGTATATGATATTCATAATAGGCTCCTTTCAACCACACCCGAGTTAAAGTTAACAAGGTGGCTTTTGGAAAGAATGAAGGCTGGATGCCAGGGGAACCAACAATGTGACTAAAGAGATGGGATTTCAGTCCTACCTTCTAATAGATATTTTTTTAGAGTATATTTTGTTTTTATTTTTGTTAACTTAAGGAAACTTTCCTATTTCACTCATAATACATACTAGATATTAAAAAAACTGCATAACTAATTGTAAAGTTAAGAGGCAGAAGAATCAAATCACATTCATACAATTCAGAGATAAATATTAGCATTTTGTTTTAGTTTCTCTGAGACTTTTCTATTTTATGAAATCCTTTATTATAAAAAAATATAAAATATGTGCATACTCTTTTTTAAAGTTAATCTGGTATGTGCTGAATGCACTGTACTAAGTGCTTAAATATATATTATAAATGCTGAATAAATAATCTACTACTTTAACAGTTTTTTATTATGAGAACATAAGGAAAATTACATGAAATACATATGCACGGTTGAAAACAAAATTATAAATTAAGCATCCATTTAACCACTACATAGGTATAGAAACAGAATATTGTCCACTAACCAGAAATACCAGAGGGTCTCTTTCTCATCAAATCCCTCTCTTCCTTCCTCCCAGAGATACCCAGCCACTTCCTTGACTACATTTTTATTTCTTTATGGATATGCAATAGGAAGAGTGCCAAGAATAGAGAATGATCTAAAATTTATTTTTTAAAGATTTATTTATTTATTTATTTATGCAAGCACTGGGTACAGTCAGAAGCTCAGGAGGGTGAGAGAATTTACAGAGCCAGAGCTGGGAACAGAACAGGCAGAGTAACGAAATACACTGCTGAGGGGAGCAGTGGGCAAGGCAGGGGAGGTCTGTTGCGCCATGTGGGACCCTTGCTGGTGGCTGGGGATTGAACTGGTGCTGCAGAGGCTGCGGGCAGCTTCACAGCCCAACGCTCAACTGCTGCACCACCAGGGGAGGCCTGATCTAAAATTTAACTTAAATGCAAGCTAACAAGCTAACAATAAGCATGCCATAGTTTCATGGATATTGGTAAAAGGCACAACTTCTGTGTCAAAGACAAAACCACAGCAGTAACATTTACCATAGAATTAGGATGTGTACAAGTTTTCCAAGTCCCCTTTCCTACAGGGTAAATTGAAGAGGGCCAGATGATACCCACATATATAATGGAAAGCATTAAAGGAGATGAACTCTGAGCTTAAAGAGAATATATTTCTTACAAAGGTAACAAGTACGCATGGATTTAGCCCTAGAAAATATATTATGCTTAAAATATGAGGTAGTAAGATAACTAGCCTTTTGTTGGGGGTTATAAATGAGATAGAGAATATATATATATTTATATATATATAAATATATATATATATATTTATATATATATATTTATATATATATAAATTTCAAATCTGCTTGCTACATAAAAATCCTTGAAAAGAGTCTGGATTGGGCCTCCCTGGTGGCGCAGGGGATTGAGCACAGTGCTATGAAGCTCTCCACAGCCTCTGCAGTGCAGGTTCGACTCCCAGCCAGCCAGGGAGAGACCCACATGGTGTAGCAGACCTCTCTTGTCTTGCCCACTGCTCCCCTCAGCAGTGTTTTCTGTCCGTCTGCCTGTTCTGCTCCCTGCTCTGTCTCTGGTGAATCTTCTCACCAGGCACCTCTGGCCTGCACCCCAGGTCTTGTAAGCATATATAAATAAATCTTAAAAAAAAATAAAGAGTCTAGATTAATTAAATTAATTAACACAAAAGCACTATTCCTTGCTTATTAAGTTAGAAAAAAGATAGCCCACAATTCTCTTACAACAAGAAAGCAATTTGAAATAATTTTTTAGGAGAACAATACTCCAAATTATACAAAGCTTATCATTCAAGCATGTGTCACTGGACTCAAACAGATTAATTCTAGCAATACATTTTAATAATCCATATTTATTTATTTATGTGTAAAAGTCTAACACTAAATTTCATTATAGATTGCTTTAAAATGGCAAAAAATAAAATTACCTAAATGTTATAATAGGAATACTTTAAATAAGTTATTGCCATTTAACATAGGTGTACAATGAAATATTGATCTGGAATTAAAGTAATGTTTAGAAGTACATTAACGATTTAAAAAATTGACTAAAGAATTTGTAAATAGTAAAAATTACATTTGTAGTATGGTCTCAATTCTGTAAATTCAAGTAAATATATGTGGTATTCAGCCTCCAAGATGGCTCTCAGAGTAAGCTGGCCTCCAGGTGTTCATCAGAGTGCTCACCCACATTCAATGACAGATAGATTGTACAACCATCTGTATATGACAGACTTACGAGGCACGACTTTCAAATTCATAAAAGCAGTCGGCTTGGTCTCTTGGATTGCTTGCTCAAGGAGAAGCTCAGGCAGAAGATACGGTATGGACATATAGATGATGATAGATGAAAATATTTACAATATACCCTTTCTCATAAGAAAGTTGGATCTGGGCCTCCCTGATGGTGCAAGAACTATGAAGCTGTTCATAGCCACTGCTGCCCAAGTTTGATCTCTGGGCAGGGAGGTGACCCACATGGTACAGCAGACCTCTCCTAACTGGCCTCTGCTCCCCTCTGGTGAACCC